GTGTTGTTTGCATATTTTCTTCCCGCCCTTCTCGTTTGCTTGTTTATTTAATGCATGAGAATTTTGCAGTTGACCGTTTAGGTGATTTTTAGTTCACAGGCTTCATGTTTCTTTCTTTAAATTAAGGGCATTTCTCACTTTAATGCATTTAATAGCAACAAACTAACTTAAAAAGTTGTCTTCTCTTTAGCTTCATATTGATTAAGACATCAATGCGATTAAAATCTTTATGACTATGTCCCTGCCTCTTTGTAAAGATATAATATGAAATAAATATTAGGTCGAAGCAAGTGAATATATACACTATCGAAAACAAAAAGAGACAAAATCCTATTTAAAGGATTAATTAAATTTTATTTATCGAACCTCTTTTTACATTACATTACATATTGTTGTAAATATGTATTGAAGAAAAAATGGCAACAATGTTAATAATTAAGAAATGTAAAAAACTGTTGCCCTGTTCAAGACTTTGATAAAAGAAAGAAATGATAATCTGGTGGAAAAAGTGGTTAAGTTAATAAAACTTCACATGGGGTAGTAATAAGCATAAGCGTAAGAAGAACATCTCTGTGGAAGCATTGAAAGTTTTGGAATATACTTAACACTGTCTGACTTTGTTGTTACTAAAGAATACGTTTCTCGAAAAACATGCGAAATATATATATATATATATATAAGAAAGTTGCCGAATATAGTTTCATTCTAGAGTTCATACGATAGCTGCTTAGACATCTGTTCGCCTCTAACTGTCGTGTATAGCTGAAATTCACTAATACTACTGCCATGCAGTAGAAGAGATATTGAACAATTTCCTATGCCGCAACCCAATAATTTCGATAATATCTAACTTAGTGCAACGAAAAATATATTGAGACTACCCCGAGGCAATTCTTGTGGACAACCAGATGACTATGGTTATTATTGACAAATACAGACTGCTTACATCCTTTTAAACATTATTTAATAAGCATGACACATAGACGGTTAGGGTTTGCACAGATGGGTTACGTAAAATATTCGACGAGACTGTAACTTAATTTAGTTAAAGCAAAAACAAACGAACAAATGAAAACGTTACTAGTCGAGAAAGACCGACTGTTTGTTACCTATGCCCTGTACGACTTTTCTTAAATAATATGCTTTGATTCCAGGTGAAAGCCTATTTTCGTCATAAGGCACTACAAATTAAACTTTGCTGCAATAAAAAGTCTTACTTTTCACGAGAAACCTTGTATGAGCTGGGCTACGAAAATTGACTAACGTGGTCCAAATTTAGTACAGTTCATTCCTTAATCAAATTGATCTATTAATCATATAAGAACTCCTAGTTTTTTTTGCGAACCCTTATAGGGGATGGGTTATAAAAAATAGACGCACATTATCCAAATATGGCGCAAATGATTTCCATGTCAAACCACCATTATAGACCAACTCTCACTGGGAAATATTAAACTAAGAAATTTTTTCACTCTTGTTAGAAAACTTTTTATAGAAGGGTAGTCAAACTGTCAGCCTTTCCAACGCAATACTATCACCAAACGATTTGAAGCGAGATTTTGTAGATAATGCAACTTTTTTCCAAATGGCGATTGTTTCGATACAAGGCGTTGGTCGTCAATATGTTCCGTTCAAGTCTATGTTGAATAGAGAGTCTACCAGAATTGCTACCTGCAGATTGAACGTAAAAGCAGATGGATAGACATCAGATGGACAAATAGACAGTCGTAAGAGCAATCAATTTAGAAAAATTTTTTTTGAATCGATCGGTGTATTAAAAAGTGGGTGGCGAGGGGAGGGGCCTATCCTAATTCCTACTATATGCTACATACATCCGCGCAATTTTAGTATACCTTGTGTACCACAGGTGGTGTAGCGTATAATGAACAAGATACGACGATAGCAAAAATTTTATGACGCTTTAATTGTATATAACCAGAAAACTAAATATAAAATCTAAGTTTTTTTTTTTTTTTGATTCTTTCCAGAAAGGTTTGTGTTCTTGTCAAGGCTTTTCGTTGCAATTCTGAATTTTTGAAAAATGAAAACATATTTTCAATAATATAAAAGAAAATATATAAAATAATCATGAAACGGATTTCAGATAACGATTTATTGAATTTATAGATTTATTTAATTATTTATAGGAATTTTTAATAAATACGTAAAGTTTAGGGGAAGCCAAACGAAATCGAAAACTTGAGAAACTAAACGAAACGAACTTAAGGAAAACGATATAAGAAATGATGAAGAATGATGGCAATCATTGATTTAGCAAAAAATTGTACGATGACTTTTTTTTTGTATGTTAGAAAATGTTCAATTTTCATAGAAAATCATTTCAATGTATATTTAAGATAATTTTTCAAAAATCTTGCTTTGAAAATTGAAGGCATTTATGCAGAGATGAAAACTATTTAGAATGTCTCTGTTCCTGCAACGAGGAAGATTTCATTCAACTACGAAAAGCTGAAATTAAATTTGCGATTAATATTCAATTCCAGATGATATTCGTTCTTTCGTTAACATGCTCTGCGGATCAAGTGCTATTCGTCACTTTCTAACCTCATTTGGAGTCTGAAGAATATATGAGAAATTCTGCTAAACTTTTACGAAAGTCATAAATATTTTGTAGCAACAGAGAATCCAAGAGTCATGCTCGCTATCATTTATAGTATGCATACCCGAGCCCATTTCAGCTCGGAACTATTCATGCTCGGTGAAGGATAGTATGATATCGAATCGAAGCTGCCGTTCTGGAAAAATGTCAAGTTTTCAACCCGCATTAAAATAATTTAAAAGCATTTTTTATTCGCTTTGGCTCTCTTCACTGAACGCGTCTTAGTTGTTTGTGAGGGCGTGAACGTGCATTGTAGGGTTGACCTTTTTTACGTTGATACAAATTAAAAATTATAGTAAAGAAAAAAAATAAATAAAGTTTTGTGCGGAATAATGAAAAACATGGTTGGCAGAGAAAATGGTTTTTGATACTTGATTATCACTATCGTGAGGTGGATATGACCTAAATTGCTTAATGATTTGATAGATTTTTATTTGCATGAATGTGTCAATATTGACATGAAACTAATTTTTTGCGCATCTGCAAGTGCAATATCAGATCCAAAAGTTCAAACTTACTCATAGTTATGTGAAAAGCTCAGTCAGTCAATAATTTTAGGAACGCCAAGAAGCGTTGGCTAGTCAAAATAGTGCGAACATATTCACAATCACTATCAAGCGTTTTTGATGAAGATTTTTCAGGTACTACTCACCACTCACTCATCACTAAAATTGTTAAAAATTTTATATTTATTTATTATAAGGTTAACTAAAAATACTTTTTTTCATTTCGTTATTTAAAAGCTGCAATAATTCCATATAGTACTCGTCTTTTATCTTGTGTTTCATCTTTTTGAAGTCATGATCTTGCCAGCAAACTCTCTTTGTTTGGTTTTATTGCTATGAAACTTGCCGTAGAGTCGGTTTAAATAACGCTCGGTTCTATTATGAGCAAAGGCGGCACCCACCTCGATTAAAGCACCTTGATGTGCGCGGTTTCAGTCAATGTCCGATGTACAACATGTTTTACTAGCCCACATACCTGCCAAGTCCGTTAGCTACACCATGTTTAGTGTAGGATCATCGAAAGTTATTTTCAGATCTTGTTCCCACTGCTTATGATTCTTTTGATTTACTTGAAGACGATAGTGTTCGTCTCCGCACCCACGCTTAAATCTTCTTATCCAATAAAAGAAAAAATTATCCAACAGTACAACATCACTATTTCTGTCATAAAATCGTACAAATTTGACGTTGTTCCGAAAACTAAGGCAAGGTGGTTCAAATTTAGCTTACATCAATATTCATCATACACTGATAACATTTCCAGCTTGTAGCCCGTAAAAGTGCCTTCTTTTTTCGCAATGCAACAACATTCAAAAGCACATTCCAAAGATAGGTTGTATTCGGTTAGTAGAGCAAATTACTACTTTGCAGCGATTTCCCTCGGGGGATATATCGAAAACGATAAATGGCCTTCCCGATTGCGCTTCATGCAGTTATTGATATAAAAAATTTTCAAAATAAGGCCTTATATTGTAAGAGGTCGAATCAATGGTCTAATCCAATTCCGATTGTAATGTCCATACACTTTTCTTTAAAAAAAAAAAAAAAAAAAATAGTTAAAAATCGAATTTATTATTAAACATACTTATCAGCATAATTTTTATTTAGGTCACTGTAAAAAGAGCAAAATCTACAAATTGCAAAGTAACAGTAGCTAATTATGCTAATTTACATATTTTTACTTCCTTCCTTCCGCGTTTATCATGTAATATGTAACATTTTATTATTTTGCTATTTTTATTCTTTTAGTTAGGAGGATTATATATACGTCGCGACTAAAAATAAAAAAAGGGCATTAATTTAGTTAACACGGTAAGAGAATAGTGCGCTAATTTTTTTTTTTTTTTTTTTTGAGAAAATTCTTTTTGTTGTTCTGCTGCGATATCCGCAATTGACGTTGCGATTCCTTAGTCCTTGCCTTTGACGCGGCAGACATTAGCAGAATAATAAAGGCAATAAGTTTCACATACATGTTGAATTTTTTAGAGCACTTTTGTGCTTAGGGCTGAAAAACTTGAAGACGAGACGAGCAGACCAGCTAAAATCGATTTAGAAAGTGACTCTGAATTGATGGGCATAACGAAAGTTGAGTCTGTTTCAAGTCCTTCTAGGCGTTGCATGTATCCACATAACCTTATCGACTCTCCTTGCTTCACAATTGGTGGGTGCGGCCTTGAGAACAGTTCGATCGGCTTCACTTTTAATACAGTTCGTCATTGCGCTAAAAAATGTAGAATATATTTCATCAAAATACATTCAAGATACATCATTATCATCATCATCATCATCACGCGGACCTTCTACAAAGGCAGAATCTAAGACAGAATGGAAATGTGGAAGAAGACTCCAAACCTCAACTGGCGTGGCTTGAATTGCGCAGAATTACTCTCCTTGTAAAACACATTATTATTATTATTTTCGTCATAACGTATTAAAGTACGTTAAGTAATAATATCTTTTATTGATCCAAAATACTCGTTTATAACTCATGTACACATATGTATCCGATTCCGTTCTAATACTGTTGTATTAAAAAAACTAACAATCATCATATATGTATTGAGAATCTTTTTAAACATTAGAGGAGTAGCGTTATATATTTTTGAAGGAATGTGTCATAAAAAGAAAAAATTAATAAAAAAGATTATATATTTTTGAAGAAACTTGTACAAAAAATTATAAAAGAAAAAAATATGATGAGCGTGAAACAGTGTCAGATTTGGTTGTTCAACATATTTGATCTTCCAAGTTTGGGAGACATGATAACAAATCCAATGAATGATTTTGATGTGGTAGCACCACCGGACGACACCGTCTCTGCCCTAGCTTTTAGTCCGATTACAGTACCACGGAATTTTTTAATTGCCGCTAGTTGGGATAGTACTATACGTTGCTGGGAGTTTGGGCAAACCGGAAATACGAAGCCAATATCCATAAAAATTATGGGTAAACTTGTGTTGGATGTGTGCTGGTCTGATGAGTGTACAAAGGGGTTCATAGCCAGTGAAAATCAACTCAACATTTGGGATTTAGTTTTAGACCAGCAAATGCAAGTGGCTGTTCATGATGCATCCGTTAAAACTGGATTACTGGATTAAAAGTAACAATTATGCATGTTTCATGACAGGTTCAAGGGGCAGGAGTGCAAAATTCTGGGATACCCGTTCCGCCATTCCGATGCGAACTATTTGTTTATATGAACGATGTTACTGCGCCGATGTTGATTATCCGATGTGGGTTGTGGCCACCGCGGATAGAAGTGCAATTTTTTGTTAAGAGACAAGACGGTCCCTTAAAACTATAACTTCGCTCCATTGCACTCTTCAAAAGGATGAAAATCAAACTCTGACTGGGTATGCCGTACGTAGCATTGATGGGCGCCATTGGTGTAGCATTGACGCGTGCGTTTAGCATATGTGAATAGAGAGAACTTTACCTTCAAGCGTCACCGTTTACCACTTTCAGCGGGATCTCAAGATGTTTATGCAATCAATGATATGTCCTTC